TAACAAATATGAAAGTAAACAAGGAAGTATCAGTAACACGAGAATTTATTGGTGCGAGAAAACTTAGCGTACACGGGAATACCCGACAAAAGGCAGGCCCCTAATATTTCAATCAAATCACTATTTCTAATTTAAAAAACATAAAACTTATTTGATATTATGAAAGTATATAATAAATACAACTTACCAATATTTTTTTTATTCTGGTAGCATCAGGAGAAATATTTTATTTAATTTCACAAAAAATGTTAATTTTCAACCCTTGTTTATATGTATGCACTCACAAACAGATGAACTTCAATTGGCGACAGACCCAAAACGAGATACGGTACAAATTTCAAATTTATTACACTAAGTAAAGTGAGAACTAACAAATATCTTTTTATCACGTTTCGGCGAAAAAAATTGTTACCAGATGTGAACAAGTGAATTACCCGAAGCCCGCCTTTTGTCGTACATTCCGGCTAGATGGTTAAACACCTAAAATAGTTTTTTAAATTTGTAGATTTTCGTTAGTAGGTCGTAGAAAAACTATACTGTACACTTCGAGTGGATTGTCCATATCAACTCTTGTTGCACTAAATTCGTTCTACCTATGTACGTGTTAAGTTAAATATGTGCTGAAACCTTTTTCTAAAACATTTCATTTAGTTTTTCTGAACATAAAAAACATTTGAAAATTGTCAAAATAATCGTAACTTTGCAAATTTTTTTAAACTAAATCAAATTTGGGCGTCGTTAATATCAGAGCTGGGTAATTCCTAGTTAAAAAGTAATTACTTTTTTTTTTCTCAAAGTAATTTGGAATTGTAATTACAGCCAAATCTGTGGAGGAATTGTACTTTGTAATTATATTAATTTATATTATTTAAATTGTCTAAATACAATTACTTGTCATAAGCACAATTACTTTTACAATTACAATTACTTTTGTAATTACAATTACTTTTCCAGTTACAATTACATTTATAAGTACAATAACATTTTTAATTACAATTACTTTTAAATGCGTGTTTATGAGATGCATGTGATATAAAAACAAAAAAAATCTTGTTCGAACCGGTCACTAGAGCTCGGACTCGCATCCACATCATTTGTTTGAATGCATTTGAGGAAAGCGTTGTGCCGTGAAGCAGTGCAATTGTTCAACCCAAAATAATAACAGTAAGGGACTAGTAGATGCAGATATCCTTATTTCTAAGATGTATTTTGTATTTATATTATTGTGCGGTAAATAATCTAGCCGTACAGGAAATGCCAATTATATATTAAAGACTTATATACCACTTGACTTTTATTAACTGACATATATTATTTTTTTTTCTCAATCTATATACAAGGTGACAACATCAACAACAACTAAATAACAAGTGTATAAAATTTAACAATTATTATAAACTAAGTTTTTATGGGGTAAATACTAAAAATATACTTATTTACGTTGCGTAGGTATTTCTAGTTATTATTCTAGTTCTCTACATTAAAATGTGGGAGTAGAAAAAACATATTTTTCTACACCTGCAGGGATATTAGCTTATCTACACAAAAAAAGAAAAGTATGCTGTTGCGTTCAACTGAACGAATATATTTCATATCTATTCTAAGTAGTGTGTACACTGCAAAAAAATGAAATCCACCAATCACAGTTCATATTTTGGATACCAAACTACTATTATTTTTAAAATTTTAAATAAATGACAATTATTCTGTCAAACTAATTGTCAGTATATTGCTTAGTTATTGAGATAAAATATACACTAAATGAGTTATTTTTGTTTAGAATCGATAAATAATAACATTTTAATTTTTATTTGGGCCACACTTTGAAAAAAAAAATAAATGTTAATCAAACTATATGACACTATTTTAATTACGGGTATTAAAGCCAAAATCATAAAGGTGGCGGTAGAGCTGAGGACAGAGCATCTACCTTCCATTCGAATGGCCCGGGTTCAAATCTGGACATGGGACTAATTTTCTTTTGCTTATTTTATTTAGTAAAAAACAAATTATTTTAAAATTAGTTATTTTGTCTTAATAACCTAAAATATTATAGATTTTCGTTAGTGGGTCGTAGAAAAAATATACTGTACAACTCCATATCCACCCTTGTTGCACAAACTACTATTTCAGTTTCAGTATAATTTGTCAATAACATTATACAGGATAATATACCATGCCTCTGACGTTTATAGCGAATCGATAAAGTTTTAAAATGGCTCCTATTTCTTAAGTATATATAATGAGGAAAGCCACCTTTTTAAAATATATACTTAGCATGTCCCAAAAAAATGTGCCGTATCAAAGTTTTGTGGCACACCCTGTATTTTATTAAATTTTTATATTCTTCCTAAATAACTAATTTTATTAATCTATCAGACTTGATTTGTTAAAAAATAGATTTTTGAATTTTGAAATTTTTTTCTGTCAAAACTATTCATAATTGATCCAAATGGCTAACTTATTCCTTCCTATCCTATTTTTTTTATTTACTACCTCATAATATTTGATTAAAACAAATACGAGGTGGTCAAAAATTCATATTAGGTAAAATATAAAAGTACCTAGGCGTAGGTATACGGTATTTTTGTTGAAAATCAATAAACTTTTAAAGGTTCACATTTTATTATTTACTTACCTGTTCCATTTTTTATGCTACTTATCGATTTTGTCTTTTCCCTTAAGTTAAAAAGACCTTAAATGGTACAGAAAACAATACACTTAGGGCTGGTTGTATAAAGCTTACTTAAAATTAAGCTCAGTTTTAGGTGATACATGTCAATTTCTGATGCTATATGTGCAGTCTAATGTTTGGGGAAACAAGTTCTAAGTGCAAAATAGTACTTAGACTATACCTATGCCATACAAAATTTGTCATGTGTCACCTCAGAGTTTAACTTCAAGTAAGATTTATACAACCCGCCCTTAACATATCTTTAACTTTAAGGAATCCTTAAGAGAGTCGTTGCAAACGGCTGTTAGTTTGACACTTTGAATTACCTATTTAAAATTTTTATTTATACCGGTCCGGTTGGTTCATGGTTCCTCAATTCTATCATAATTTGTTGTTTTATCGGCAAAGTAATTAGAAAAGTAATTACAAAAGTAATTGCTAATTCCTTTTTGCATGTAATTGTAATTAAATCAATATAATTCCTATTTTTACAACATGTACTTTGTACTTGTAATTAATTCCTTTTTAAAAAAAGTACTTTGTAATTGTAATTATTTTTAAAGTATATGTAATTACCCAGCTCTGGTAATATACAATATACATGCATTTGTTGCTCCATAAAACGTTCGTTTGGGCATGTATTCGGATTAAATGTTCATTATGGTATCCACATTTCATTCTCTCGAGTCGTCCACTCCTTTCATGTTACCGCTAGTCGGCAAACGCCAGCGAACCCTCGTTGGTATTCGCTAAACCGTCTATGCCGCGCCAACGAAACCCCTTTGTTGACATTCGTTGACACGGTCTTTACGCAGCTTAATACTGATTTAGGCATTCAAAACAAAAGAACTTGTTGGAGGTACATTTAGAAAGTTGCGGCATACGATGTATTCTATCTATAATACGTAAAATCATGAATAAGGGATTAAATTTAAATATTTTATGTTGAACACAATTACTTAAAATATTATTAAAAAAAAAGTACTTATACATTTTTCATAAGCTGACATTGTTGGCGACTACTACTTCGAGTAAAAATAGCGTCCAAGATGGAAGAAAGACTATTTCGCAACCCCCTTAGATATGAGTCCTGCTCACTAGCAGCTATTGTTTGAATCATAAGTAAATTATACAAAATTACTTTACAGCTCCATTTATGCCATTTAAGCCATTTATGCAGTGTGTTATCTATTTCACGAAACTATGACGTCATTAATATTTTTTTAAATGGATCAAATATTTTATATTAAAAAAAGTTAGTCGCTTTAAATGCAAATTCTAATCCTAAATAATAAATCTAATTCGAATAATTTCGAACAGTTAAGAAAATTATACCAAATGACTTTACAGCTTCATGAAATAAAATAAGAAAATCTAAAATACGATGTAGTCACAAATTCATACAGAGTGCAAAGTGATTTGTCAATGTGGCCATTATTTTAATTACAGGTACTCTTGAATAGGTACAGATTTCGTCTTCTACTTGGGTTTAAATGATCAAAACTATATTCCGAATAGAATATTCAAAATCCTTGATGGGAACAAGTCGACTGGCTCTATAAACGAATGCATGAACTAAAATCATCGATAAAGAAGGTATACAATGGTATTAACGCGTATATTATTTGAAATTTTGGCATGCATTTTATTTCTCAATTTTCTTCGTCATTACATCAATTTGAGAATTGATTTAAACGTAATTGTAATGGTTTTTAATAGACTATTTGCTTGTCTCCGTAAAAAATCTATATTTTTTTTTATAATTGTTTAAACTTTTATTTAATTTTTTTTAAAGTTGCATTATTGATATTAGCGTCAGCAACTGCTCTGATTTATTTAAAAAATGTCTACCAAATCTTAGGTCTTCTTCTTTTATAGTTTCAAATTCATTTAGAAATAAAATTAAATGCAATTAAACTGCCACCTTAAACTAATCATTTTATTCCTTTGAAAATGAAATTTTTAAAACTTTCGTCCCTTATGAAGCTCCCCAAATTTTTTTTCTATATTTCCAAAACTATGGTCTCTATCATCGCTTTCCCGAACCCTTGTTCTGGGGGTCAGTTTCAATAAAATAAAAAGAATCTAAATAAAATGGTCAAAAATGTCTATCGTTTTCAAACTTTGAAATTCACATTTTTAAAACTTTCATCCTTTATGAAGCTTCCACCAATAATTTAAAAAAAAAATGATCAAAAATGTCTATTGTTTTCAAGTAGTGATTGTCTTTCGAGAAAATGAATAGAGTTTTGTTTTTTAACAATGTTTTCGTGGCCGAGAATAAATTTAAACTTTATTGGTCAAAAAAAAAAAATATATAACTTACTCCTCTAGGTCTGCATAAGCAATTCTAAAAAACTGCATTTTATTATCCAGGCTAAAAATTCCACTAAAATTAAGTAGACCCTCTATGCTACTTGCTGGCCATTCTGTTAATCGATTCAAATTAGTTGAACCTGGTGGATAGAACTAAAAATATATAAAAAAAAAAAAAAACAAATGATGAGTTTTGTTTAAAACAAGATATAGTTCTTACCAAGGGAAAATGGCACCGAATGGCTAACATTGGTAGGTGGCTCATTGATTCTTTTAACTTTCTTAAATTTTTATAAGAAACTAATTTTGTACTTCCATAATCTACTAAACGCAAAAGAACGTCATCATGCTTTTCATTCTATAATATAAAACAAATAAGTTTTAAATGATAATAATTCAATAACAGGAATTTTACCATATATCCATTCAGTATTTCTCCTCTATACCACCCATTGTCTTGAACTAAATAAACAACACAAAATCTTCCGATTTCATTTAAGGCTGCTTCTTTTGATTTATATTCGGGTTTTGGATCTTGCTTCGTAAAATAGTCTTTAATTCTTTGATTAAAGTCATCAATTTTTTGTGTGTCTTCATCAACAACATGGATATAAAATTCTGTGGGAGTTTCTACGTGGCTCATGACACACATTTCTCCAACTTTCGGCGGTACTTTATGTTTTAGTTCTTAAAAAAGATAAATTACGTTAATATAAAAAATACAAGCAAGAAAACTCTAAGTCAGCTACCACAAGGGGGGGAGATGTATAGGCACAGTCTCGGAGCTATCTCAAACAGCTTAAAAACAGAAAAAAAAATGAACAACTGGTCCAAAAAGCAGCAATTGTACATTAAAGTACAAAAACAACAGTTGTACCATTAATGAAAAAGCGAGTATTTACAAGACTAAAACCACTAGTACTAAACAACATGGAGTCATATTAAACCAAAGGACGACGTGGAATCATCATCTCAACAAACTCGCATACAAAGATACAATAGCTCTTGTAAGCTGTAAAATGGGAGGCCTAAATCACAAAACCCATGATAACCTAATGCACAGTAGCGTGGGTAACCAAAATTGTGCAGACAAGTGCAATAGGCCAAATCATTGGCATTCAGCGACTCGCCTATTTGTGTACCACAGGGGCCATGCATAGGATACCAACTGCAGCAATGTAGGTACTACCAAACCTTACGCCACTGCACATCTTCATACAAGGAAAACTCAGGTTCTTCATTCACAGGCTAATGCAGGGACCCAATAAGCCAACTACATAGCGCTGACCGTACGAGCCTATATCAGCAAATAATAAAACCTACCATACATGCTAAACTAGTTTAGTATACAGACGTTTCAAAAACCAAGGAAGGAGACAGTGCTGGAATCTTTGGACCCAAGTCGAAAACAACGATTTCGCTGAGTCTAGGAGAATACACAACAGTGTTCGAAGCTGAACTAACACTATGCAAGAGAAATAATAAATCAGCAAGTGTCAGGCAAAACTATTGCCATCTACTCTGATAGTTTGGGTAAGTGACCTTAGCCTGGGTAGCAGGCCACGAAGGATATCAGGGCAATAACTATATCTATGACAATAACAAATTACAGGCCCCTATCCCTGTGGAGTTGCTAAGGCATTGTTAAATGCGTCCATCAAACAATGGATACAAAAAGTCTTAGGAATGATGGAAAAACTATCCAGGATTGAGACAGGCCAAAGAGTTCATTAAGAAACCGTTGGCCAAATTCACGAAAAACATACTGGATCAAAAACGACAAATCCTAAGTCCTCTTACCGGACACTATGGCCCAAGAAGGCACACGAGTGTTCATCAGTCCAGCAGAAGAAGCAACATTCTACAGGTTCTGAGACAAGGAAACATCAATTCGCGTCCTGTGCCAGTGTGAAGGCATGGCTAGTTAAAATATTTTTTTGAAGGATAATTTCTGGGGAAGTAGCTTGATCATAATGTGATTGTTTATGTTCTAGTGAAGGATAACGTTTCAGATAGAAACAAATATTGAAATAATGTGTAAATATTGCGAGAAAGTTATCGAATTATAAATTTGGACAAGATTCTGACTTCAGATTTGTCAATTTTTTTTTGTAGGTAATTACAGATTTCAGTTAGTTTATATCTGTTTTCACACCAAAGTTAGATTAATGAATTTTTGTGATAAACTTATTTAAGCAAGTGGTGCTGCAATTAGTTACACGAGTAGATTCATTAATTGTTGATTTTAGACCTCGAAAACCTAGAAAATCTACAAACTTTCTTTTTGTAACATATTTTTTAGTCTATATTGAAATCGCTGAGCAAAAGATCAAAGTTGTCAAGAAAATGTTCTAAACTAGAAACTGTATTTTGTGGAATATGTTATATAACAAATACAATAATTAAATTTTTAGTTACGATTTCAATACAGGACATGTCCTTAATCGGGGTGTACCTGTCACTGAACTTGTCTCTGGAAGAAGACATTGTAATGGAGGAAGCAAGAAGGTTCAGAAAAAAGGAAATTCTGTGCGGAGATGTTAACGCCAAATCAGAAGCTTGGGGAGCACATACTATAGATAACAGGGGATAGTCCTGAGTCCTAATGAACCATGGAATAGTGCTAACCTTTGTCGCAACCCTATTTATGAGGGATATAAAATAGCCCTGAGATGCCTCAAAGGATTCACAACCCCTTACAACTTGTTGAAAGACAATAGAAGGGAGGTAATAACGAGGACAATGAGGATATACTAGTAAGGAAAGAAGCGTCTGCCAACTTTGAAAAATTCACCGTAAAATAAGAGCCGAGGCTACTGACCTCATTAAGAAAAAAGGTGCCCGGACAGAATTTTACCGAAAAACGTAAAGACCGCATAGGCTGTAGATCCCCAGGTGATGGTAAGGACGAAGAATGATATATTGAGGTAATAGAGCTTCCCGAGGTGTTGGAAGACAGTAAATGTCGGTCTCCTCCCGAAGGAAAAAGTAAATAGTCCAGGATCCGTAAGTAAGGTCGACCTTCACCCATCTGTTTAATGGATAAAAGTTTTTTTTTATTAGATAAAATGTTTTTAAATATATCGCAAATGGGTTGCCTAAGAAAATACGGTCACTGCCATTTTTTGCTTTCCTTTCTGTGTACAGATAAGGAAAGTATAGAAATCATCATAAAAGTTGCTTATGATGTCATTCTCTATTATTTTGTTCCTATAGATGATTTCCCTAAAATGAACCTAATCCGAGATATTTGAGGAAAAGTGCAAATTTCGAATTTTGAAGACAACTCAAAAACGGATAAGTAGAAAAACACCAAATTTTAAACTTAAGCTTTAATCTATCCTGTGGTGAGCTAATTAAAGTTTGGGCATAGTCGAAGCATCTGGGGAATACTTTACAGGGTGTCGTTTTTTTTTATTATAAGAAAATAAATAGTCTGGACCGTATTTTCTTAGGCAACCCTTTTGCGATATATTTATAAACTTTTTATTTAATAAAAAGAAACTTTCATCCATTAAACAGATGGGTGAAGGTCGACCTTACTTCGGATCTTAGACTAAAACACATACAGGCCAATATGTCTGATAGACACCCTCGAGAAGTATTATGAAATGCTGATAAGAGAAATACTCGAAAAGAAGTCGGAGAAGAAGGTAGTACTATCTAACAATCAGTATAGCTTTCGGAAATGACGTTCCACAGTGCAGGCGGTGAAAGTGACAGCTTTAATATAACTGTATGGAGTACCATGATGGAAAAGCTGAGTAAAGCGGGCATAAGCCACGCCACTACCTAGTAAATATAATAACGGAATACCTAACCTATATGAGTATTAACATAAGCAAGAACAAACAGATAAAAGTCACCACTACAGGGCTCAGTCCTGGGTCCCACTCTGTGGAACGTTCCATATGACGATGTGCTGAGACTAGAATTAGAAGATAGATGCGGGATAGTTGCTTGTTCAGACGACGTAGCCCTAACCATGGCACTGAAGCTAAACAGACCGTTTCTTCGGACAAACGGGAAATGGATAGAGGAACATGGACTCGTACTAGCTCATGAGAAAACGGAGGCCATAATATTTAACGGAGGCAAAAACAGGTTTTCGGTAACATTCAGGCTAGACGATACAAACATAGTACCAATAAAACAGTTACCTTGAAGTTTGACTTTACAGTAAATATTCCGAGAGCATGAAAAGAAGACCGTGAACAAAACGGCAAAGACCATTGCAGTATTCAACAATATTCTACAGAACATCAGAAGCCCAAGATATGCAGAGTCGAATTCTAAATGGGGTAGTGCAATCGATACTCTTGTATGGAGTGCCGACGAGCTATAAGAAATATCGCGTTAGTCTCAGTACCCAGCAGAGAAGTTTGCTGAGGGTTCCCCAGACATACTGGACGGTGTTCAGTGAAGCAGTGCTAGTTGTAGCAGGGGTACCATACATAGACCTACTAGCTATGGAAAGGGACAGAATATACCGGAATGGTGTAAAGAAACGATGGCCTGACAGGAAACGGTAGGAATCTAGCAAGGTGGACTGGACTAAGGAAATCATACTCCCAGATAAAACCTGGACACGGTGTAAGCACAAAGCGGTAGACTACTATCTAACACAATTTCTAAGCAGACACGGAAGTTTTGAAAGCTGCACAAGGAGAACTGGCAAGTCGGAAACGGACGAATGCCTTTACTGCAGTGAAAGCGACATGGTAGAATACAGTATTTTCGGCTGTCAAAAGTGGCAGACGTGGAGGGAAGCGGCAACCAGCCGAATAGGGGAAACTGCTTCCGGAAAACATAATCAAGATGTGTAACAACAAAGTAAATTGGGACATAATCTACAAATTTGTTGTAGGGGTGATGGCGAATAAAGAGAGGAGAAGCTAGCGGAAGTTTGAAAGGACAGCCCATATATACGTTGCATTTTTAAAATTATATCGAAATGAAGATTATTATACCAGTGTTTGTTTAGACAAAAAAAAACTGCTTTATTTATCATATAAATACATCATTTTCAAGAAATTACACTGAATTTTATTGTGAACTGATGAGATTTTATTGTCTACTAAAAGCGTACTTTTCACTGAGAAAAACTTTTAAAAAATTAAGGCATAAAGTATATTTTTTCCAACAGAAATTAAAGAGAAATATCGACATATGTTCTTTGAACGATAGAAATACTATTACCACATCGAATAAATTCTGCCAAGGAAAAATAATTTTCAAAAGTTAAGTTTGCAGCTTGAACAACTACCCTCCATTTGTAAAACATTAGTTAATAATAACCGCCTTTCACTTTTAGGACTGATGATGGCCCATTTATCCTTTTATAAATACAATTATGTGGTAACTGACTTTTATTTCCTGTATGAAAATTGCCACATTTGAGAAACATTATGATTTACTCTACTCAATATGAAAAATATAATATAATAAAATAAGAATATTTACCATAAAATAATTTGTCTTTTTTTTGTTTCTTGTCCTTTTTCTTTTTTGACTGACTTCCACCAGCAGTTGGTATGAAATTTTGTATGACATTTCCAGAAGGTTTTAATTTTATGTCTGGCAAAACAGAACATGCGAAACTGTCATTGTCTTTCACTTGAGGTCTATGATTATTGTTAATCTTTTCTAAGGCAGTGTAAATTCTTTTATCACTTTTTTTAACATTAGAGATTAAATTAGTAGAATTACATTTATTTAATGTAGAATCTTCTTTTAATGGAGAGATAGCACCAGGGAGGTCTGAATCTGTACTACCTGTATCCGAAAAACAAATTAAAGGGCTGCCACTTTTGTTCACTGAATCATTTCCAGTTAGTTCATCAGAAGAACAAGATGTATCAGTAGAGATAACTTTTTTGTCGCATTTGCTTTCTGAATAGTCTTGGTTTGTGTCTCTCTCTGGTATTTCGATAATTTTTATATTATTGGCTCCTAAATTAGATCTTTCTGGCAAAATAAAACTTTCCTTTGATGCCGTTGAGCATTGGGCAAAACTAGTTGATGATTTTTCATAATAATCTGTCATGTTTGAGAGATTTGTTTTATTCAAACCATATTTTTGGCTCCACATCTGTAAAGTTTTTTTCAGATTTTGAATTTCATCTGTATCAGTTTGACAAATGGGATGACAAACTGTTTGTGCTTCCTCATTGGCAATTTGTTCTGTACATTCAGTTCCATGATAGGGATATTTTTCTGAAAATTAATATTAATCTAGTATTTCAATATCAATCACAATTTTGTTAATGGTCTTCATTATATTAATATTAAGTAAGGATTAGATTAGAGCGAGGTCTGTTCTATTTCCACTGAGCCTATCTAGTAGGCGACGATATTTTTGCAACAAATATACCTGACGTTTTTAAGTTATATAAGATTAAATCATAATACAAAATATTTCAGAGATATGATACTAAGCTGACGAAATCTCTTAGAGTTCACGGATGACGTAAAAACCACGTCTCCGCACCACAATACGTCACCGTGACGTAGTATCAATCTGCATAATATCATACCTTCTTTTTATAGTATTAGCATGAATTTAAAGTAATTCTTTCGCCAATAAGTGATGGAAATGAACAAGGAGCATTATCGTGCTGTGACTTTTTTTACAAATTCAAGCGTAAGGTTTTGAGTGCTTGGTGACAAGTCGGTTTCATTACCGTAAATTATGAAAAAGCGGTGGTATTGAATTTCAACTTGGTCGACATTTCTCAAATGACAGTTTTCGAGTTTCTAAGCCAAAAACGGTAGTAACAGAAAAAAATATTGATCTTATTCAGAACATGCTTAAAGAGGACCAGCACATTACTGTCAGAGACCATGGTATAAAAATTAAAAGGTAGGATATCAAAAGTGTTAAAAATAGGACGGCCACGCGCATGACGTCACGCGTAGAGTTTCTATAGGCGCGAATTTAAAAATACTGACGAAGTGTGAGGAAATTTCATGAATATTAAGGATACTATTTTAGAAATTACATCAAATATCTATGTATATTATTATAGGATAGTTAAGGAAAGAACTATGAAGGAACATAAATGCAAATACATACACAAAAGAAGTATTTATTTGAACAGTTTTTTCCTTTTTATTTTTTAATGATTTATTTTGGTTATACAAATTCGACATCTAAAGAATAGTTTTTATAACCAGGATAATAAAAAGGGTATCTTCGCAAGTCGAAACTGGGGATCCTGGTAACAATTTCGCATCTGGAGATGCCGGACAATTTTACCTTTTTACTTATTTACCTACATTATATTACCCAATTTAATAAAAATAAGTTTTAAAAAATATGTGTTTTCATATAATATAATTCATATGTAAAGCATAAATGTATGAAATACAAATGACAGCTACATAACATATTGTGGGTGCATATACAAAATTAAAATAAAATGTCACTACAATTTTCCTGGACATAGTCGCTGACAGTTTTTTTAATTCATTCATCACGTACAAGTCAAAATTTTCTTTTTTTTGCGACATTTGCAATTTCTTTTTTTCTTATATTGCAAAATTTTTAGCCTTCAATGGGTAGAGTCTCCAGTTTAGAAGTTCCAAGATGCGAATGAACCAATGTGAAGTTCTGATTTGAGATACCTCTTATAATTGGAAGGTTGAAAGTGTTTGGAATACATATGAAAATTTATCTGCAGGGTTACAAGCCACTGTAAGGGCTGCACCAATTTTCTTGGGAAGAAGGATAGAATTGCCTATTTAGCATATATTTTTTTAAGGCTCATGGAATAAGAATTTTAATCTAGGGACGGCATGCTCCCTTGGGCCTCTCCTAACTTCTGGTTAAGCTCTTACTGTCAAGGAAAGCGAAAAACCATAATATCTTTCTTGAATCATTTGCTTTGTCACTGTTACATCCGTACCGCAAGTTTTCAATGTTTTTTACTAAAACCACTAACAGAGAACAAAGTTTACAACATATAATACAAATATCTGTTTAATATCTTATAAATCACTATAAATGACTCACAAACTACTGCAACATGCGTCTGTCATATGATATTTATTTCGCGTCAACTTTACTAACTCTACGATGACGTCAACGCCGCAATGACACCATGCGCGGTCAGAGACAATTAAGCAACTATAGATAGATATTTATTGAGGTAAAATTAAAATAAATATTTTACATGTGTCAATGTTAAAAGTATAAAAAAAAGATATATAGGTATAGATACAGAAAATACACATAACATATTAAAACATACTTAAAAGATAAAAATTAAAAAGGTATATTCACCAAAAAGGTTTATACATTACTCACATGCACAGATGGACACATATGATAAGAATTCGTCAATGGAATAAAAGCAGTGACTCGACAAAAATTTGTGAATTTTAAATAAATTAAAAGATGAGTTTTTATAAGCTTGAGGTAGAGAATTGTACAGTTTAATGTTGATATATCTATAAGAATCATGAAGTTTTGTTAATCTGTAATTAGGTAAAGATATATCATAATTTCCTCTGGTGCAATAAGAATGTTTAGAGCTCTGTCTTATAACATTATTATTACCAATTTGTTTTTTCATGTATAAAAAACACTCTAAAATAAAACAACATGGTAGTGGTAAAATTCCCAACTGTTTAAAAATAGGTTAGCAGTGACTATTGTAGCTACTCGATGTTATGATACGTACTACTTTTTTGTGTACAATAAATACCATAAGTTGGTTGCTTGTATTTCCATAAAGTATAACCCCATATGCCATAATGCTATGAAATAATGAAAAGTATACCATTTTTAAATGTACAATGTCTAATTGAAATTTTAGCTGTCTAATTGCATAAGTACGTTTTGCTAAAGGACTTAGTAAACTTTGAATGTGATATTTAAAATCTAGTTTCGGGTTTAAATATATTCCTAAAAGTTTAACCTGTTCCTAACTTTTAGCAATGATAGAAAATGACATTTGCTGAGTTTTTGCTTCGTTTAATGTAAGACCATTGCTACCAAACCAATTATTTGACATAACGTCTGCTTCATTTATTGTATCAGATTTATTTTTATCTGTAGCAATATATGTTGAATCATCAGCATAATACACCTGATATTACTTAGAAAAATTGACAAATCATTAAAGCAAATGATAAAAAGTAAGGGTCCGAGAACAGATCACTGTGGAACTCTTGCCCGAAGTTTGCCCATCAATTTGAATATTTTGAGTTCATTTTTGCAAATAAAAAGTAATAAGCTGTAATGGTGTCCCTCTAACTCCATATCTCTCTAATTTTAATAATAAAATGTCATGTTGAATGGTATCGAACGCTCTCGTAAGATCATAAAATCTGGCAGTACTATGTGAACGATCCTCAAAACCATCCATAACAGCTTCATAGAGATCACATATTGTTGATTTGTTTGCCCTGTAACCGAATTGATTTTGGCTTAGCAACTTGTTGCTTTCAAAAAAATTCATAATTCGTTGTTTTAACACTATTTCAAAAATTTTGCTTACTATTGGTATAATTGAGATAGGTCTGTAAGCAGCTGGTAGATTCATGTCCCCTTTTTTGAAAACAAGGGTAACTCGTGATACTTTAAATGTAGAGAAGATACTTTGTAAAAGCTACAAAGAACAAAAAGTACATTGATGGTTTATTGGCATTATGACATAACACTAAATAAGTTAAATTTTTTAGGGTACTGAAAAAACATACAGGTAATTTTGTAGTTTGCGGTCTTTTTAAATGAGCATGTCAACACCACTTTGATTCTGGCTCACTCTTACTATTCGAATCATCACATAGTTGCTGAAGTTATATTTTAATATTTGAAACCTGGAAATAAGCAAATTGAAATATCTTTTAATCGTTTATTTACCAATTTTTAATATAGGATAAACCTAATATACAAGACTCAAATTTACATGAGTAAAACAGATGCCATAAAAAAGAAAGTAAAAAAATTAAACTACAATGCTGTAATTACCTTTTTTATACCACTCAAAAGCATTTGATGCATGAAATTATAGGTAGTAAAAAAATTCAGAATATTTAAATATTAGTAATACCTTGTATTTTTTTTAGAAATATTGGCATGATCTCTTCTTGTCTTATCAGCAATGCTATTAGGCCACTTTTTCACTATTTTGTTTTTTACTTGGATTAAAATAGGTGAGGCGTCAGAGCCCCCCACCACTCCACTTACTGGCCACGCCCCCTCGGGGTCATATCAAGGTTATATGAAGGCAATGTCAGGTCATATCAATGTCATTTCAACATCATATCAATGTCATTTCAACATCATATCAATGTCATTTCAACATCATATCAATGTTTAATCCATTCTCATCGAGAAATCTTACAATACTGAGTTTCTCCCACTATTTCTCTATATATGTAGGAACTTAGTCAAAATGTGGATGATGTATAAAACATAAATTGAAAAAGAAGATTTAGAAAGTGACACATTTAGAAAGTAGAGGTTTGATGCAGAGCATGAAGCCTTTTACAATGTTGTCAGAGCGGGTTGTTACCAAAATTAGTCAAAACATAATCAATGTTTTACTGATATTAAGTATTCACATGTTGAGTTATACCAAATAAATTACATATATCTTTAATTTTTTTAATATAAAATTCATGTGATGAGAAATTAAGATTAAATTCGCCAATCAAGATTGTACGGACATTATTTCAAAACATTTCCTCACAGATATTTTATAAATGATCCAGAAAAGTTGCATGACTTGCATTTGGTAAGTGACAAAGACTACCTACTAACCATTTTATACCACAACACTTGGCTGAAATAAATTTACACCTGTAGATACCTACAGTCAGAAAATAAAGTAATGTTTTTTTTCTAATTTTGACATATAAAGTGACTTTTTTGTAATAGCGGCAAGTGTCAAAATGATCTACTTTACGCAACCAGTTGCATATTGTTGAACATTATAAAACTGGTTTCGAAATAGCTATTTAGGAAACGAGGTCCCGCAACATGAACGGCATTTCGTAACGTGTTACATACAATATATATTTTTTTTAATTTTGACTATATTATATATAAAATTGTATTTTGGTACTGACATCTAGGCAACCAATATTACTGCTTTATTGTATTGTTAGTTGCATATGCATCATTTTATTGAGAAATAGAATATTAATTATTTATTCTCATCGACTTGTAGTATGTTTATATGGCTCATTACGGTTATTTCGTTTTAATTATTTTGTGTTAATTTAAAATGTAAAATAAGGACCAAAACACCATTATTACTAGGTTGTAAGTTTAACCAAATTCTATTTTATAAGTCAACCTGTCCTTACTTTACATAAACTAATTAAAAATGTATATTAAAAAGGTTTAGTTTTATTTGTTTTTTTTTTTTTTCACAACTGGTGTCCTATGAAACTACCAAAGATGTTTATTTTGATATCATTGAATCTCATCTAAGATATGGAATATGTTTTTGGGGTTCATGCTACAAGGAACTGTTTCATAGAACATATTTGCTAGAAAAGAAAGCTGCCAGATTTATGTGTAAAGTTAGCGAGGAGAACTCATGTAAGCCATTGTTTCTACAACATAATATATTAACTTTGATTTGTATTTATATTTTAAAAACTGTATGTTTAATGCTTAAGAAATATTTGAGTGATATTTTTACCATCTGTATGCTCTTGATAAAAAAATCCTTATTATTTAATAGCAAGAAAATGTTTAACCACATGCCTTTAAATATAAGAAGTATTTCTAATCAGGCCATAATAAGGCCATATTCAGGCGAAGGATAAAGTATCTGCTATTGGAGAAGGCATATCACACTTCTGGATTTATATAATTGATTTGAGTGTTTAACTTTATTGGTACCTAAATAGTTTTATGTATTTTATATCTTCTTTAATGACTATAAACACAACATGTGATGCAAATAATAATAATAATAATACCCTTTTTTTAAATATTTTATATTTTAATGGATGTAGTATCTATACATGTAAACATTTTTTTCTATATTTTGTTGTTTTAAGTATTATGTGTTTTCTAGCTTTGTCAATAAGATGTACTTCTTCGACAATAAAGTATTTTTGAATTGAATGAATGATTTTATGGAAAAAGTAATTTTAAATAAAATTTTAAAATAATCTCACAATGTACTATCTATCTGCAGCTGAAACTTTCAGACTCCAAAAACCACCCCAAATAATACAACTGGCTCATGAGTTGCAAAAGTTGGGGAAACCATCCCTCAGAATTGTATCAATAATTTGACAATGAGTCTTTCAAATAAAGTAAAAGCATTAAGAAAGACAAGCTGATGTGGTGCTCACACGTTATTTTTTTGTAACCATGTCAATTTCTCAATAAAATAATTTCATAAATTACTTTTTTCACTCCAATCTTATTTTTATATTACTTATTTTTTCCATTAAATATTAGTTTGCCTTTGGTTACACAATTAATGTATCATTTTATTACATTTCCTTGCATTTTTTTATTTCAAATATTTAGACTTTAAAATTTAGAATATATAATAATAATAAATCGTCTTTATTATTTTTAAATACAAAGTGTTCAAATTAAAGTGTTACAGTTAAATACCGCCGAAAATATACATTTAATAAAAAAAAGTTTCAGACAAAAGTTTTATAGTTTTTTTTGGGGGAAACAGTTTGGCAAAATTAATTTTTTTATAGCTGACCATAATATGGCCGTATCGAGGTGGACTTTTTTATTTCAAATGGGAACCCCATTTTATTTTTAGATATTCTTAAAGTTCATAAAAAAAATAAGAAACTTTTAAAGAAAACATTTTTTTATTGGACTTTTACTTATTGAGTAACACCTACTTAAAAATTGTGCTGGTAAAAAAAGGCCTTAAGATTATCATAACTATAATTACGATAGCACTTAATAATGGATTGCCATTTTATAATCCTTTTAAAATATTTTTTTTTTCATTTCCTCCCCCCCCCCCCCCCCCCCTGTTGGTAGTGTTGTACTTCTATATTCTACTATTTAAAAATGTCTACAGATAATACAAAAGATTGGTCTAAAATATTTGCGACCAGATGTGATCCATTAAAATTAAAGAAACATTCTGGAAAATTGAGGAATGTTTCAGAAAATATTCACTCTCATGTAGACATTAAGCTAGGAATGAAAATTTGTGTTGGGCGTCGAATCAAATATTTAAGTTTATCATTATGAAAAGTATTCAAAATATTTAGAAAATAGGTTTACTGATGCATAGACGATTCCAGGAACCCAAAAAATCAATTCTGTCATTCCAGTGGCAAAGCCAAAAATTGTCACAAAAGGTTTCTCAGTGAGCTCAGAAGAACAAACACATGAACTAATAGTGTTCTGCAAATAAATAATTAAAGGAATAAAATCAGAGGCCTTTTATCTAGATTTAAATTATTAAGAGACCTTTTGTAATGTGTGGAGGGTGGGTTACCCCACGGCACTTAGACCTCATTAGGTCCATTGTGCATCCTCCTAAGATGATAAGCACCTCCTAGCTCGTGAGCCAGCCTACAGATTTAATGTAGTTGACAACGTCGCCAAGAGGTGCTTCTCTTATATCGGCCGGTGTTAGCCGATACTCGCCAAACACAAATCTTCTAATAAATGAGAGCGTCGAGCAATTGTAAAGGATATGCTCAATGGTCTAATCTTCTTGTTCGCACCCTCTGCAGAGTGTGGATTCTGACAGCCCCATGATATGGAGATGCTTTCTTACTTGGCAATGACCAGTCAGAATGCCTGTGACTAGGCGCAGATTCTGTCTAGTCATAGTCAAGTATCTGTTTGCTGCAGTGTTGTCAGGATAACTTAAGATCTCCCTGGCAACTCTGCAGTTTCTTGTTTCATCCCATCTTTCCTTGAATTTCACAAGGGAATGTTCTTTGATTGGGCCTGTCACTACCAATTTTGTCAGGCCAATAGAAGGGCCAGGTCCAAAAAGTATTTGGTTGGTTGCTTTCTTGGCTAGTGAATCAGCAAGACAGTTACCTTTCGATGTGGCGTGACCTTTAATCCATCTTAAGGTGACCATGTTGATGGATACTTCGGCCAAATATTCGTGACATTCTAGCACTAACCCTGAATAAATTTGTGGTCTGTTCAGGGTGAGTAGTGCTTGTCTGCTATCTGTATAGATGAGCATGTTTCTTCCAGTGATATTGTTTCTGGTTATTTCTTTTGCTGCTATGAGAATGCCCGTTAGCTCTGTTTGAACTACACTGGCACTATTGCTCACAGCCCATTTTATGTTTAGGTTTAAGAATCTGGAGTATATTCTACATCCTGAGCCTTGTTTTGTTTTAGAACCATCAGTGTAGATATGAATCGTACCTGACACTTCTGGCTCTTCTATTTGTTCTATTATAACTTTATATGGCTTATGAAAGATATTTTGGTGAGATGGAGTCCATGTTCGCTTGAAGCTTCAAAAAAATAAAAAATTACAAAAAAAAAATCAAAAAATGTTTTTTTTCACAATTTCAAAAATATACATGAAAATAAAATAGGTCATGTGACACATCGTTGGAAAGGTGTTTTAATTAATATCTTATAAGTAGTTCTCAAGATATTCTAATTTTTGTGAAGTTGTGTTGGACCAAAATTGGTCAATTTTTGAAAATCAATAAAAAAAACTACTGATCAGAAAAAAAAATGTTTTGGATTTTTCATCCCACCCATATAGAGAATCAGTGTACCAAATTTTACCAAAATCAGTGAGATGGTCTACCATACCTCTTTTTATTTTGGTTGATTTGATATTATGAAATGACCTAAATATAAATATTATGAAAAATAGTGAAATCTTTTGGATTAGAGGTAAAACAATTTGTATATGGCTAGTAATATCCTTGTTAACAGATGTTTTGAGCTAAACAGTCACTTCATGACAAATTGTGGCTTGCATTCTTTTTACATCAAGGGATTCAATTAGAAAAACAAAAATAACACAAAATGGCATCTGAAAATACATAGTAGGACAACAATAGAACAGTTATTTTACATTAATAGTGCTCTAAAACAAACATGGAAATTTGGAAAGGTGGCAGGTGTACAATTCAAACTCTAGACCTCAGAGCAAAGTGGTGCAGACATGCACATTAGAAGGACAGTAAACTACAAAATAACCAATATACAGGGTGGCTCACGCTCAACGGGACGGAGCTTTATGGGAAAACGACCAAAGATATAAAAAATTCGTTTGGGAGGAATACGTAGGTTACAGACGGCTACAATTTAAAATTTGTTAGATGTATACAGGATGTCCCACATAAGAGAAAATATACAAAGTTATATTATTTTTAATGGAACACCCTGTTTTTTATTTTAGAATTAAAAACTACATCAAAAATAATGTCAGTTAACTAAAGGTTCTCTATTACTATTATTATTAGTTTTCGATGTATTTGAATTTTTAAGGAAAAAAAGTCTCCCAGAAATTAATTGTTTACTCTTGTTTGAATAATTTTTAATGAACTAATTTTTTTTTCTTATGTGGGACATCCTGTATACATCTAACAAATTTTAAATTGTAGCCGTCTGTAACCTACGTATTCCTCCCAAACGAATTTTTTATATCTTTGGTCGTTTTCCCATAACGCTCCGTCCCGTTGAGCGTGAGCCACCCTGTACATACTAATAGATAAAATGCAACAGTACATTATATAACATATTTAAATAGTTTATTCTTTGTAATGGCACCAAAATATTTAATTTTTAATTTTTTTAATTCATATTTTGCCATGAAACTTATTTTTGAGAGTACTTATGCTAAGTCATGCACAGTAACTCCAAACTAATCATAATTAAGCAACAATGAGCTACTGCCAAATACCTGAAATTGATCTGCAGAATACCTCCGATTCAACCTCTGAATTTGAGACACCATTTTCAGACTTAACTAAAATAGCTAAATTTGAGGCTAAATCTGTCTCATTTTTTTTATCACTACTAGGTGGAACAAATGTATGTTCCTCAATGTGCAAATTCTTCAGTGGATTGTCTTCTATCAAATTTTCTAAAAGTGAATTAATTTCTGTTAATTGCTTTAAAACATCTATGCAATATGTGTGGATGTAAGACACATCTTTCGTCTTCATATTTTCTTGTTTTTTTTTAACATGGTCTACAGCTGAAAATATCTAAAAAGAAATGTTTAAAAGAGTAGCTAGGTATTTGATTTAACTTCTTACCTGATTAATTATTAAATCGAGATTATCTACAACACTCAGTTTTTCGTCTGTAATCTGCTCAAATTGTAAAAGAATTTTAGATAATTTGGTTTGCCTTTTTTCCATATTTCAAGGTACCAAAAAAAAAAGATACACGTCACGTACGTGCAATAAAACTACAAAACGGAAAACTTAATCAAACTTAATCACCCTTCTTTACTTATTACGAGTCACTGATATCTCTGATATTGCTAATTGCTAGTGAAAGTGCTGAGACCTGAGACTGCTTTATGACTTGTTGAACGTGACACGACAGGTCTATGGGAGGGAAGACACTACGTGATTAAATTGAAAAAAACAAAACAGGAGCTTGGTTTGAACCTTGTGAAAAATCCAATGATGCAAAAACCTTTGGCTTATTCCCAATGCCCACGCAATCACAATCCAAACGCAAAACTACACAAGTACCAGTACACACAAACATCAAACAACCATTAAACCAAACAAAAAAATATGTGACGTTTGACAAATGATGAACGACACTTGACACTTGGAAAATGTTGGCGGGGTATGTTCATTTTCTTAGATCGTTTGCCCAGGTTACTCTAGAGTAATTCTCATTTGTCCAAAATTTCTGAACGCCAACGAAAGTAAACGTTGACGAATTTGAAAATTAAATTTTTTTATAGTTTTTACAATATTCGATGTTCCTCGCTTTCCGTTGTTACTCGTGTAGTTTTACTTTTTTTAGCTGTTTTTTTTCTGTTTATTTAATTTTTTTATTTCAATACTTACCTATTCGCAGCCCTATTTATAATCGAGATTATAATGAATGATCTATAAAGTCAATAGAACAAGAAATTTTAGATTATTTATTTTAAATCAAACTTAACTTTATAAAATTCCATGTACAAACCAGGGACCCGGACCGAAAGGCTATATCAAGCTAGCGGGCACTCTGTGGCGGCACCATACAAGTCCTGATGGTTTTTTTGTAGCCTTTTTGTTACGCTATTTGCGAATTTGTAGCTTTCCATAAATTCCATAGTAGCGGCACAGATTCAGACCCAGCTGGTTTTTCGTAACTTTTTTGTAGCTTTTTTGTTACGCTAGTTTCCCTTTTGTAGCTTGTACTGAACCTGAGAAAAGCGCGGATCCGCTAGTTTAGTGGATATTTGTAGCGGCACCAGCTCGGACCAGGCTCATTTTTTGTAACCTTTTTGTAGCTTTTTTGTTACGCCTGTCTCCATTTCGTTGCGAGGCCTGAACGTGAGTAATAATCGTTTCTCCATGAGCGTGAAAGAAAAGTGCGTCAATTTAAAATCAAGTTTCGGCATCTGCAAGTAATAGGTCTTTTCCTTTGCATCGAAAGTGTAGCACTGAGCTACACCACTTCTGAAAATACCGTTGCATTTATACAAATTGTATAGTTGCGATTATAATAATTAAAAAAAATTAATGCGTTGCTTGCTGCTATATAGAAAATCAATATCATCTACATAATGCATAATCGATAAAATTTTATCACAAGTCTTGTGTGGGTGATGTGGTAAATATTTCAAATCGATGGAAAAATGATATATAATTAATTAAGCGTTGATTATACCTATAATTTTTTATATAAAACATGAAATACTACATTAAATAATATTATAAATTTACAAGGTAATCTAAATTTCCATAATCGACTTCTTCATTTGTTCGTTTTTCAATATTCTTACGTTTTTTATTTAACTTTTCTTTCTGTTTTCTACATTTTCTTAACGACTAGCATTCAAATCATTTTCATTATTATTTCTTTCTCAATTATATTATTATCAATATTTAAATCTTTTATTATTTTTTCATTTTCTATTATTTTTTGGGAAAAATTAGTTATATTTTTATTCAAAATATCATTTTTTTTTTCGCATAAAATCAATTTTTTCGCTTTGGTTTGCGATTACTTCGGAAAGATATTCGTTTTTTTAAATAATAGAGTTTGTTGGGCAACACAAACGGACTTACATGTGTGCAACTCGTTTTCAGCTCGTACCCCATTTTCAATAAAGCTGCTATTCAGTTTCCAGTTATTATTTTCACATTTCATCACTTTTAAGCGTAAAAAATTTTACAGTTGTTAATTCCCAGACAACACACCAAATCCCAGAGATATCCACAGAATATATTTTGTGGATATCCAATATATCCACAGGATATCAGAAATATTCCGTGGAACTAATATAGATATCCAAATGTCCGTCTATATCCAGAATATAGAAGATATCCTATGGATATTCAGTTTAATATCTAATGAGTATCTCCAGACAATACAAGAAATCCCAGATATATCCATAGAATATATTTTGTGGATATCCAACCAAATGTCCGTCTATATCCCAGGATATAGAAATTCAGATAAATATTTTATAATTATTTTTAGTAGAGGTTCATAAGTAACCAATGGTTATTGAATAACGTCGAAAGAAAATAGAGGTAAAACATATTCCCAACAATCTGCCTTTGATTTTGTCTACTAAGGAGAAAATCATCCTTATTAGGATTATTAGGAATCTTCAGCAATAAATGGAACTTCTCAACTTCAGTCTCTAATGAAGCCTGTTTGTGAAACAATGTCGATCAAACTCAATTACGGCGGGTTAAGCATGAGTAGATACGAAAGTGGTATCGCCATCTATACTTAGGAAGCAAAATCAAAAATTACATCTAGTAGATATCCACGATGGTTTGCGTCCGCGCTTAGACTTTGATATATTTATATTTATAGTGGATGTCCATGGGATATTGAATACACCTTAAAAAAAATTAATTTTAAATATCTCAACGGTACTATTAGCCACAATGGCGAGTACAATGGCGTAATTTTTTAATAATTTGCTATATAATTACAATTATTTATGGACATTTGCATGTCTATAAATTACATTTCATGGATATAAAATAGATATCCACCATGGACTGGACATTCAGTGGATATTGGGATGTTCAGTAGATATCCAAAGGATTTGGTGTGCTGTCTGGGTAGGTGATATTAACACTTGTGATACAGCGTCATTTTAAGGATTTTCTTGTAAAAAAGTAATACTTCCTGAATATAAATTTTTTTGCGTTGAAACAATTGAATCAATTTGAGAAAAAACAATAAGAATTAAGTAGAAAATCATTTTGCGAACTATATAAAAATTCATATAAATATAAATATAGATGAAAAAATTATAATTTTGGTAAATTAGGGGGGAAATGGGCAATATTATTTCTATAAGTATATTCAAATTATATATTGTTAACTTTTACCAGTAGGGATTTTTAAGATCTCAATAGTACATTATTAAAATTTTTCCTTCTCTCCCCTAACGTTCCTAGTATTCATTTTTTATTATTCATGATGATCCTAACTTTACATATTATATTATTTAATTATTTAATATGCATATGAAAATTTTTGCAACATTGTATTTAATTTATTTATTGCATGAATTAAAACTGCGCGTGAATGCAATTATTTTATTTTTTATTTAATGAATTAATAGGTATGGAAAGATGAATAAATACGTGTATTTACTATTAATAAAAAAAATAAATCCAATCCGCTTGTAAAACATATCAAAATTTTCCATAGAAAATTTCAATTTTAATTTGGAATTATATTAGTTTTGGTGTGATATTGATAACGGTCAATGTTAAATTGTTCTTAAAATAACTCTGATTAAAAAATTGAATCGAAATAAGATTATGAATCGATTGAGGTATTTATACATTTTATTGATAATACATATAGGTATTAATTGCAAGGAACATCACAAATTTTGTTAATTGTATATATTTATATTACAATGGTTAAGCAGAATGCTGCAGATATTCCTGAGCTTCCTAAAAGTAAAAGAAATTAAAAAAAATTCAGCCCTAAAAAGGATCTTGTCTGAAAATATAATGCCAAATTGCAATTTATCTAAAAAATTGAGTGTATTTATATTTTTTTTTATAAAATATTATTTTACATTTTTTGTAGGATGAAATTATTAATTTAACAGCAGATTTTGACACCTTCCTAGAGAATATCTCTTTTAACATTGAGCATAAATCCCAACAATCGCATGATGAAAAGCACGAAGTTTACTAGTATGTTAAATTTTTTATTTATAGAACTATACTTATTTACTATAATTATCATATAATTTTTTTATTTTAGAATACTATCAATTTAGTAGATAATATTTTTCTTGAAAATAACACTTTTCCTGAACAGCCTGAAATCATCGTTAGAAATAAAAAGTATATTACCACCAATTTTTTCGTTTTATAAAATTAATTATTTTTTTATTTTAGAAACGCTTTCAAAAAACATCAAACGTCATCAACCTAACGATTTTGAGTAATTAGTTAAAATGCCTCCATTAATTGAAACTCAAAGCATACTAGTATGTTTATATCATTTTTTTGTTTTATGCAATTATTTTTTATTATTAGAAAAAACATCTCCAAAAAAAAACAAAAACTAGAGGCAACGCAACCACATCCGCAACCTCAACTACATCAATCTATCGAAAAAATCCGAGAACTAAATCATGATGAACATCAACTACTCATGGGCGAAGTTAAAGGGGGGCTTGGGGGGGCTAAGCCAAGCCAAACCAAATTAGCCCCCCCAAAAATAATTCGAACATTTATCGCACATCCACCCAAACATTTCAGATTTCAGAACAGAAATTAAAAAAATAAAAAGAATCGTGCCTTTGATTGATTCTGCAATTTTACATTTAGTTCAGGAGGCAGTGAATTTTTTTCGTATTAATTTTTCCAGTCGGTGTATGTGAAAAATAAACTGTTCTCTTAGTGACAAAAACAAAATTTTTGAGTCTGACACTTATTTTCCCAGTCATAATTATTTTACATTTACTAAACTAGAACATAAAACTTATAAAAATAGCAGTTTGGATTATCTCAGATAGTGGAAAGTGAGTGTGGCAGAAAATTGAGCATATAAATTGATACAATCATGAACTGTTTATAATAATAAGTCTGGCTGATTTACGAAATTGGCTAATGAGTCTGGTAATATCTTCTAAATGGACAAAATATAATATTTTTGCTTTTATTTTCCCGGGTTTGAAAATTTGTCACGTGAT